TCTTTTAAAAATCTTTCCTTCTGTGGCCGTGCCCCTTTTTTTAATCTGTCCCCCCTTCTTCACAGACAGCGTGGCCTGCTCTGCTGGTGTTCATCCAAGAGACTTGCTGCCCTTGTGGCCGGCTGGTGCAGGAGGCCCGATCCAGCGGCAGGCGACCCGAGCATCTTTGCTTTCTCAGAGAAGCTACCAGGCAGAACCCTGGTTTCAAGAATTTAAATATTTATTCCTCAAGGGGGAATCGTTTCAACAACAACATATACCGAGGGTCCTCCTAGAAGTGAAACGGGGCATTCATAAGCCCAAGTCCTACCAGACCCAGCAGCCCCCTTTCTCTGGGGTAGAAAGCTACTACTTGGCCATCCCGCTGCATCCTCCCAGGGCAGCAGAGCTGATCTCCACCCGGCTGCCTTCTCAGAAGTTCCCAGTGGCCTCCACCGAGCAGGTACTGCTACCAGTCGTCTCTGTGCAGGTGACGATGGCCCACAGTTAACCGTTCCCGGGGCTCAGGCAGACGGGCTCCCCTTGGCTGGTCTCCTCTGCGGGCGAATCCTCCTCCTTCGTCTCTAGTTCAAAATTCTACAGCGAAACAGGAAAGGGAACCAAATCCAAAGGAGAGTCAAACAGGCGTTCCATTTCTGGGCTCCTCTTGCGCAGCAGCCTGCAACTGCCACCCTACGTGGCCACAGGGGCGTTTCAGCAGAAGAGATGTCTTCCAGGGCCTTCTTGGGCAGACCATACTGTTCCCCTCCTGGGCTGGCTACCCGTGGCTCCAGGCTCAGCTGAACGTGTTGCTTTTCACCCTGAGAACCATTTGCATTTTGGACCCAGCTACCTGAAGAATCCCATCCATCCATTTGGATTTGCCCAGCACGGGTGTTAGATGAAGAGCTAAGCCAGCTCTCTGCCCTGATGGAGGGCAGACGGGCAGGGAGCAGAGAGGCAGCGTTTTCACTTCTGGACCTGCTCTGCAAAGAAATCGTTATGGCCTTGCCAGTACCGTCCTTCAAGCGCAGGGGGTGTTCACCTGAGTTTGGGAGCCTTCTCCGAACTCAGGTTCTCCAGAAACTGCGAAATCCATCACGGAATTCGCAGCGACCACAGCCTCTGGCATCACATGGGGCAGGCTCCTTCGCCATGTACTTAAATTATTATCCACTCACGTTTCAATTTTTTCTGTCACTTATTTTTTAAATAAAATCCTGAAAGGCTGGCAGTGGGAAATGAATCCATCTGAGAGAGAATAACCCTTGTCAAGGGGAGCATTGTTGCTATCACCAATCCCTTGTTCCGTAACACCAAATCACTTTTCAGTACCAAAAAGAGAAAAATAAAGTGCCTGCTTTGGCTATTTCCCCCCCTTCTTCCTTGAGAGCACCTCCCTTCGGCTTCCACTGGGGATGAAGGATCAGGAAAGGTGGACGCTGCTGGAAGGAAGGAAGGAAGGAGGGAGGGAGGGAGATGATGGCAGGCAGGCAGGCAGGCAGGCAGGCAGGCAGGCAGGCAGGCAGGCAGGCAGGCAGA